ACTCATGCTAGTCTTTCTCTTCCCCAGATGACTTTTTTCCTTCACTCACCATTCTAATCCGTGGGATGTCTGGAAGACATGCGTGGGCACAACAACTTTGCCTTTTGCCAAGAGGAGCCAAATCAAATCAAAAGGTTTTTGTCAGAGTTCTGGGTAGAACTAATTTGCTTTCTTATAAAAACCAAGGAGCACTGAAAAATGTTCAGTAAAGTGCTAATAATAATAATAATAATAATAATAATAATAATAATAATAATAATACACTACCCCTTAGTGCAATGAATTACTGATTTTAATGCCCCTTTCAGCTTCACTTCCAAACTAACCATGGATTATTTCCTCTCCTATTTATTGTAGAGATCTATCAAAGATTACATTTTTAAAAATTAAAATAACTGATTATTGACTTAGAGACTATTTCTATTACCATCCAAATTTGGGAAATGAGGAGATAATGAATCATGTTCATCCATATATATAGTATGTGTGGTTCATATCTTCCATTTAACAATTGCAACATTTTATAATAGGGCAGTAGTTATGGTCTGTCCTTTACTAATCTAGCGGTAGTTATAAATACGTCTTAGAATCTCTTTAGCACAAGTACTGTTTTCTTTAGTCATATATCAATTAATATTAAAAATCCCATTTAAAAATATCACAAAGTTATTTATTTACTAATACTAAAATAATTATGGTATCCTTGTTCATCATTCCAGAAGATTCAGTATTTGTTCTGGTATTTTGTTTTTTCTCTGAACTAATCATACTCTAATAAATCAAAATTATGAGGGTGGAGAGTGAACTTCCACTTCATCCTATACCCAAGCTATAGATATTCTCAGTTATCGCAAATCAAAATTATGTACCAGAAATAATAGATGACAGATTATTGTTTAAATTATCGTTATATTATTTAGAAATAATATTTGCATCCATGTGAACGTATGTCCATACCCAAAGATACAGATAAATCTTACTGTCTCCAGTCTTGCTCATATTTGTAGTAAACAGTTTTGCAAAACTCTGATTTTTGGCACACAGTTTTTACTCAACAATCATTTTACTACATCCACATCAATATGAATTTCCAAGTTCTCCTGATTCTAAGAGTCTAAGTTTAACGTAACATGGTCACCGTTTTTTAGCATGTTATTTCCTCCATAGTGAAAATTGCAAACACACACCAGAGAATGATTTTTCAGTTTTCTTCGGTTCTCTTCTGAACCTAATTCTCTGAAGATTCAGGTTTTCACTAACCACAGCTTTGTTATCTGAGGTTTTATTCTGTCATATAACTGCTTAGATTATAAGATCTACCTGCCTACCCAATGTAATCTAAGAAAACATGTTAACACAGTTATATAAATGCAGTTAACTTCCTGCATGACTATTGATACATACACAAAAAGTTAAAAGCAAAGCTGACTATCAGACTGTAACGTTTCACCTTGTTTAGATTACAGCTAAATTCAATAGACTACTAAATTAAAGCGATCTCTCTCATTTCAAGTAAAAAATAGTTGGGAAGGCATAATAAATAATTATTTAAATATTACTTTTCTGATGAATTATGACTGCTGCCAGTCCCAAATTTATTTCAATCTGTTTCAGTGCTTTACAATAACAAAATATTAAAACTTTAAAGTAAATGTTAAGATTGATTGTTCTCTTTTCAACAGCTATTTGTTCCAGAACCCCGACCTGCACCTAAAAATGATGTTGGATTAAAATATAGTGTGAAACATCGCCCGTTTCCTGAGGAAGTGGACAAAATTCCTTTCGTGAAAGCAGACCTGAGCATTCCAGACTTGCATGAGATAGTTACTGAGGAAGTATGAAATTTATAATTTCCTGATTTATTTCATGTTGCACAAAAAAACTTTTTAAATTCTTCGCAATTACTTTTACTCTCCTGCGTGTATTCATATCAGTCTTTCTGGGACAAAATAATGTATTTGTACATCTTTGCATCTATTAGAACTTTCTCTGCTTACTAGATATATAAAGTAAGTCAGTCATCATTTTTCAGGAAGCCATTGGAATGGAATATCCTGTTGTCCTTATTCTTTCCGCATCCTGTGAAAATGTAAAGTCAGACAGATGTTGATTCTGTTAACATTGGTTGTAATTATTCTTTAACTGCATGTAGGGGCTGAGTAGCAGGTGAATTTTTGTAACGCGGCAACTGATGAGCATCAGTAATCAGAATTTTATTAGGTAGAAAGCTATAGCAAATTGCAGCAGCTTTTTTATCCACCTGGTTTCATTGCTTTTTAAATCATGAGAAACTCTGCACTACACCTTGATCCTACTTTTGGCAATTTTGGAGGTCTGATGAAGCTGCTAAATATGTTTCAGCTGGAAGAACGTCATGAGAAACTGAGAAGTGGAATGGATCAGCAAGTACTTTATGAGAAATCTATAGATCAGAAAATGGAAGAAGAATGGAGGAAGAAAAACTTCCCTGATCCAGTCACAGAGTGTAAACCATCACCTCCTGCACAGGAGTTTCAAACAGCCCGCCTCTTCCTTTCTCACTTTGGATTTCTATCTCTAGAAGCATTGAAGGTGACTGAAAACTTGATTATTATCTAGTTTGCTTCAAGCACAATCTTAGAATAAAGCCATTGATTCTAATGACTTGTGCTTTAAAATAAAGCATAAAATAAAATAGGTAGAACTTTATAAAGTGGAATAGAATAGTAACTTTTTTTAACTGTTTCATGTGTATTCTTAAAAACAAAATCTGTAGGTGTAAGACTCCTACCTTGAAAACGGTACTATTGAGTAGAAACATATGCCATATTTCATAATGTATAATAAGGTCTTGCTCTATATTGTCTGTGTGGGAGATATTGCTACCTATTATGTTAATGTAATTGATTTTTATTACTCCTTTTTTAATAAGACCAATTGAATTGAGCAGCCAGACATTAAAAAATGTTGAACTTTACAAGTTGGAAAGATCATGATAGTAATGTGATGAGCAGATGGGAAGAACTGTGAAGTTTTGTTCTTTGGAGGGAGTTGATAGATTAAGCAAATTAGTATGTTAAGCCTGTTCTAAGTTTAAAACACTTTTTTAGGATTTATTTTTTACAAAAAAACCCCACATACTGCTGAAATTAGTGATTAGCAGAATTTTACAGTAGGTATCTCTGGGAATTCCAGAACAGAAGCAAAGAGTCTCTTGATTGATGTAGGTTGATCTGCATTTTTTTCTCCCATTTCCCTGCTTGTTTTGTAAAATATTGCTAATAAAAGGTTATGGAGAACTTAACAGTAATAGCAATAGCAATAGCATTTAGACTTATATACCACTTTATAGGGCTTTACAGCCCTCTCTAAGTGATTTACAGAGTCAACATATTGCCCCCCAACAATCTGGGTCCTCATTTTACCGACCTCATTTTACCGAAGGATGGAAGGCTGAGTCAACCTTGAGCCGGTGAGAATCAAACTGCTGGCAGTCGGCAGTCGGCAGTCGGCAGTCAGCAGAAATAGCCTGCAGTACTGCATTCTATCCCGGATCTCCCCTCCTTCCGCCGCGCCCTTAAGACCTGGTTATTTCAGCAGGCAGGACTGGCCTAGGGGTATTTTAAAGGGGTTTTAAATTAAATTTTTAGTAGAAGCGGCCAAATTTGAATAGTTATTTTTAATCTTTTTTAAATTTTGTATTGTACTGTACCATTGTTTTAAACTGGCTGTAAGCCGCCCTGA